TTTTTTTTTTTTTTTTTTTTTTTTTTTTTTTTTTTTTTTTTTTTAATTTTTGAAATCTCACTTAACTTTTTCAAATCTCACCCTGTTTTTGAGAAAGGGTGAGAAATTCTCACCCACTTTTTTTCTGAGATGAAAACACTGCTTAAAGTTTCTTTTAAGTCTAACTTACTAAATTTTAAGACAGAATAAATATTTGTACAACACTTCTTAGACTATTATCTTATTGTATAGTAATAAATGCAGGTCATTAAAAAAAATGGCTAAAGGTTGACTTTTAATCTTTGAAAAAATAAATTCTTAGGAAAATATTTGGCCCAATTTGTGAAATTTGTTTAACTATGAAATAGATAGAAAATACGAATAACCATAATAATGTTAGAGTTATCACACTTTATCGTATCTTACGACTTAGGCATATTTTTTAATGTGACAACGCAAACCTGGTTGAAAAGAGGATCTTTGCAAGTGAAGAGGTCATCAGGAGAGGAGTAAAACCTTTCACGATATAAATTGATTGCATAGAGGCACACCTCGAGATTTTAAAACAAATCATTGGCGAACCATTGCGCATAATTGAATCCAATAAAGGAAGCTTAGTCTGACGGCCTTGGCCAGTAGTAGGTTGTAATGTATTTGAAAAAGAAGATTGGTATTTTAACCATGGTCTGGGGATTCATTTTTTTATATGATGCAGAGAAAATATTGGTGCTGGCATGCATAACAGTTATTGGATGCACGAAAATCTTTGAAGAGTAGGCATGAACAGCCTATCTGCACATGACACTCCACAACGATGCATGGACTTTTTGGTTCCGAAGCTGGTAAGTACATTAGATTAGAATGAATTCCATACAAGGTAAACATCATCGAAATAAAACATAACAAAATTATTGTTACATTATGTTAACTGTGGGAATCAAACCTGCTACCTCCAAGTTGCAGATCGTTTATGTGAAAGGTTTTTTTTTCTTGTTGACATTAGTTCCAATAATTAAATGATTATTTTTTTTTCGCTTGTTAGAGCTAAACTGCTTCAATGATTTAAGGCACAAATACTCCACAGTCCGATTTGAGTGTTGCAGTCTGAGATCTTAATTTCGTGGCTTAAGCCAAAGACTACCTCTGGTTCGTGTTCCAAAAAAGCTAGTTCGTGTTAAAAAGCCTTAGAGCTCATACGCGAATAGATTACAAATTTCTTAAAAATCCAAGTGAAGTTAAACTTTAGTAAAGTGCTTTATGCTGTTCTCTTGTTAGCGATAAAGTTTTTGATTTCCCATATTCTTCGAGGAACGAACTTTTAAAGTTTTCTCTTTCAGTTCGGTACCTTAATCTCTTTGCTATACCGAGACCTTCTATTAGTTAATAAATTGCAAGCACAGAAATTCTTAAACGGTGATAATAAGACACACTTTTGGGTTGGGTTAGAGTCTTAATTTTTCTCAGGGTATAAAATCCTACCTTCTTTGCCCAAAATGCCACCAATATCAGGTTTCAGCTGAACATATTTTAAGCTGCTTAGGACTTCTTCGAGAAGAAATTTACACTTCTCCTCTCCTTGTTTCCGACTTTTTACTCGTCAACGGATTTATAGATCTGGTCTGACTCAGTCAGACCTTTGGAGATAAGTAACAACAACAACACGTTTGGGTAGATCACCGAAGTCATGCATCACTGGCTACGGTCGGTGAATAGGTGGTTTACCACCATGATCAGCCTGTGAAGAAACCGAGGGTGTGCCGCTCTAGTGCAACGTAAATAAAGTTCTACTACTGCAACTACTGTTGCAACCCAAAAATTAAATCTCTCATTCATACAACCGTTTCAACTACAAGAGCATATTGAATCAAAAGAGGAATTATTTATTTTTACGCATGCATATGCAGACTTGAAGCGCATTGCAAAATAAGTTTTTAAGTCCTCTTCACGATGAACAGATAACACAAGTTAGATAAGAACATCACAAAGATACATACAGGTTTTCGAATCCCCTAGGCTACTGGTCTTGCCGTTCCGCCGGATACTCTGTACCGCAGGACGCTGATCGCGGAGGTAGCAGGTTCAAATCCCACCGTTACCCTGGATATCTTTGTAATATCCTTCTCTTACTTGTGCTATCTGTTCTTCTACTTGAAAAGGGCTTGTAAGCCTGTATATGTATGAGTAACAAGGCAGAAATAAATTTCGTTGAATTTGTGTATCCAATCAAGTTTCAAACCTCATAAACTTAATTTGTATCTTCCAGATGAATGACGTTCGATAGTTTTGGGCAACAAAAAAAACTCTAAGGTTAAATTTTTAAAAAAAATCGCGGATACTTAAAGTGCATAAGATAACTATACCTTTCATATCTTAAACCAAATTTGAAAAAAACATTGCAACTGCGTTGTCGTGATACTTTTAACCTTGTTACTTCGAGAACTAGAATGTCAGCTAAGAATAAACTCCTCGTCAAAGAATATGACGAAAAATGGGAAATAAATAAATGGTTCAATCGACCTAACAAAAGTGCTTATTTCGCAACTCCTGTGATTCAGCCCAGTTCAAGATATAACGTTCAACTTTCGTTCGAACTGAAATGGGATTTCTTTCGAACTTTTATCGACAACGGTCCTATTGTTTCTTGCCTTGAATTACGAATGTTTAGACATTCAAGGTCTGGTAGGCACCCAGATGAGATGGAAGCTTTTTTCTCAATTTATTACTCGGATGGCAGACTTCTTCATGAATGTAGAAATCCTTTTCCAATCTACATCAAAAATCTATACAATTGCTGTTTTGACCGGACGCGTTTCGAATTGGGTGTTCTGGATAAACATTATCCTCGTTATTTCACAGATCATAATCAGAGCTTGGAAAATAACAACTTCACTCTTAAGTGCCATTTGAAGTTTTATGATTACATTTCTCCATCAGAAATTTCGTTGAAAAACCTACAGAAATTTAACAGAAAACTTTGCTCCATGTACGACTTGAAACTCTTAACAGACTTTGAATTTAAAATTGGTGAGAAATCCCTCCATGCCCACAAAGCAGTATTGACTGCGCATTCAGCAGTTTTAGAAAAAATGGTATCTGCCAATTTCATTGAGTCAATGACGAATATTGCTGTGATAGCTGATTGTTCATACGAAACCTTCGACAGCTTTTTGAGATACCTGTATTCTGGAGAAATTATAACTCCATCTTGGCAAAACTTGTTGGAGCTTTATATGCTGGCAGATAAATATGACGTTTCAATTTTGAAGGAAGACTGTGCTGATCATTTGACAGAATCTATGACTGTGGATCGAATAAGCCAAACCTTGAATGTTGCCTATTCTTGTAGAGATTCCAGATTGTTACGGGCAACGAAAAAATTTTGTGCTACGCTTCCAGACATTTGAGATTGATACGGAGAATCTAAAGACTCTGTTCCAAATGAAACTGTCAGTGGAATTCGAACTTTTGAAATTTTTAGTTGCCTACATTTAAATCGAGCAAACAATTCTGTGAATTTCTTCTTTCCAGTGTGTTTCTAATTGTAAAAGACAGATAAAACTCCAAAAAAGTAACTTTTGCAAACTGTTCCCATTTGAAACTGCTCATTCCAGTTTATACAAATTCTTTAAAATGTGATACGTGATCATTTCAATTTGAGCTGACCTATTTAAATTTAATACGCTTGCATACATCTTTTTGACAAAGTTCCTGTTTGATACTGACCGACGTAAACTTCAAAAACTGGGTATGAAGTTATTTTTATATTAATAAACTTAATATAAAATCACAAAATTTAAACTTTGTTATGATATAATTTTAAAATATACTTAAAACTATTTCAAGATATGCGCTGGACGCTGTCTCAAACAATTTGCAATAGCATTTTTTGAAGCAAATAACGCTTCAAAAAAAATCTGCTTTTCATTTTTGTTATGGCCAATAGTCAATTTTTATTTTTTACCATTTTATCAATTGTAATTATGACCAATAATTTTATTTGAAAAACAAATTTGCCTGAAACATTTTTGAAATTCTGAATATGTTAAGTTACTTGCGTAAAAAAAATAATCTGAAAAGCTATTGAAAATCTAGATTTATTAAATTTTCTATATTTATCGTTAGTGTGTAACACGTTTTTATGTTATAAGGAAGTGCTTAAAAGCTAAGTAAAATATTCATGACGCTGAATTTTGATGAATTTTAGGAAATATTTATGACAAGTCTGTTTTAGACAAAATCTTCTTAGTTATTCTATTTATGTGATAAAAATTTGTATTTATGATTAATAAAATTTTTAAAAATCATAACTCTATATGTGATATTTCTTTTAGTTGTTTAATTAAGATTGCAAAAGTAACAATCTTGTTGTTCAAGGTGAAATGTTGAATATATTATATTATCAGTATTTTGATTAGAATTTTATGGACAAATGTGTCGTTATTAAAGAAAATATAACTAACTGAATTTTCCAATAAATCTGTGCTGCGTAATCTGTATGCAAGGGGGGCAAATTTATGATAGAGGCAAAGATTTCGATTGATTTTCGTAATTTGCTCCAAATTTTAGAGCCTGGAATCGAAAATTATAAAATTAACTCCGTATTCTTGTGTTTGAAATAAATATCCATTAATATATTATTTTATAGGCTGAGTTGAATCATTAATTGCTAAAATATACAAATTAACTTTAAAAAATTTACATTGTTAATTTTCATTTGCTTTTAGAAAAAAATATGCAAAGCATGAATTCTGTTTTAGTTCATTAGAGCTCAAGGTTCTTTTTGAGTCTTCTAAAAATTAATTGTTTTTTCATCATAACTTTGAAATAAACAACTTTTAAGAACTGTTTTTAATTAATGGCAATATGTTTCAATTGCTAAATTGATAATGAAACCTGTTTTTGAATTTAATACACGGGTTACTCTAGATACGGGTAACACTAATTGTTGCAAAAAAAAAAATTATATTTTATCAGTCGACGATAGAGTAGTTCTGATTAATGAAGGAACCGGAGGTTGGGAGGCAACCTGTAAGATTCCTACCAGTAGAACGTCCAGGTTCGAATACAGGCGATAGCTGATAGATTCGAATACTTCTGAGGTTCTGATTAGGTTCTTGAAGTCGAGCTAACTTGGAGAGGTTTTTTGGTTTCCCTCCTTATTCAATACGAGTTTGGGTAAGTTCCATCAAAAAGTTCTCAAACTGCATTGTCCCTATGCTTCATCCCAAAGCGTTCTTGTCTTCTTGGTTGAGTGGTTTAGAAATGACAAGGTTACAGAGTTGAGCAATGATAGCAGCAAAGCCAAAGTTGGTTGGCTTTGCAATGCCAGTTATAAGATAAAACTACAAGAACCGGACACAAGTATATAACCACCAACAATTGAGTTATGTGCCCAATATTTTTTTATCAGTGGTAGCGAACTAAAACTTAAATTCGAAAGCAAAATTTTTAAGACTATCAAAACTTTTTATTTTCTTCAACATATATGTTTAATTTATTTATATGCACGGATGAAAAAGGTTTTTTTCTAACTTATTGAAATATTAACACGTTATATATACTAATCATTGGAAAACGCATTTTCTAAAGCTAGCAAAACTCCGTAGTAGTTGGAAGATATGCAAATAGAACACTAGTCTTATTTTGCATGATAAATAGGATGAGGAAAAAAGCATTAACAAATTTCCTTTTTTATTCCATTTGGCTCTCTCTCCAACATTAGAATTTGGCCCCTCACCCCTCGTAGTTGCACCAAGCTCTTTAATTGTTCTGATATCTTTAACCCTTTAAGGCAGATGGAACATCGGTGTTCCTTTCATATATTTTTTCTGATCCACTAATTACAAGCGAAAATATATTTTGGTATTTTTTAATTGTAAAAAAATAGTCTTACAGTTACTAAAGCAATCTGTTCGATTATTGGAATTATATATGCACTAAAATATAAAATTCAAAAAAGGCAGTTTTAAAAAAAAAATTTCTCAATAATTGATATTGTGAATTAAAGAAATTTCAATGAAGAATTAATGTTTCTCTTAGATTTAAATAACTGCAAATAAGAGCAAAGTTCAAAAATTATCGTTTGGAAGTGAGTAGTGTTTGGAAGATTTCACCTTTCAAGCAAAAAGCGACACCGATGTTTCATGCTGTATTTCAAAACCATAAATTATTAAAATTCTAATTACAATATTCTTCACTTATTTTGATCTTAAATTGATACAAAATAATGAAAAAATATGAAAAGTATGTTTAATAAAAATTCTCGGCAGATTCTTCTTCTTTCACGCTACTTTCTCTTTGGTTGCTAGGTTACATCGCTGATCGCACAGATCAGAAGTTAAAAAGGACCACGTTTCCTCAAAGCCAGTAATATCGTATGAGTGTTGGGATGTTTTGTCAATGTCTCTGCTTGTTCATTTTGATATGTTCTTCAACGGAATGCCAAAAAGAGACTTTCCGCTTAGAATCAATTTTAGACGCCCTATACAAGAGTTTGCTATTTTTGAAAAATCACATTCACGAAATTAACTTAGATGCGGTGTTAGGAGCTAGACTTGTAGAGGGTATGTAATATAAGTGTTATTTACTTGAATTTTTTAAAAAAAATTTTTATATATATNCTTACCATATTTTCTAGAGTAGATGTTGCCCTGCTGTATAAGTCAACCCCCTATTTTTGACTTCAAAAAGGAGGATTTTGCATTTATTTTGAAGAACAAGACGGCCCCTGAAATCACACTAGTTGAAAATAAAATTATTTCTAAATTTAAAAAAAAAATCAAGTGTACAAAATTTTCTTAAGTAAAAATATTTCACACTGCTGTTTCCGAGTGTGAATCTGTGTTAAAGTGAAATTTCCACAAAACTAAGTAATTTGTGGTAAAAAGAGAGAAAATGTTATCCTTAGAGCCTTACAAATTATATTTATATATTTATATATATATATATATATATATATATATAATTTCTCTTATGTGGCACCATAAACTCTTGTAATCCATTGGCAATTTATTATAATTATTATTTATTTTCTTAGGTTGTTTTAACCCTTTTTAACTCAACAACTCCGATTTAAGAAATATTTACGCGGATGTTAGAATACATCATATAAGGCGTGCAAAAAATAATGAAAAAATTAAGACCTTAAAATTAAAAATTTATTGATAAAAAGCATTTGTTGAACATCTCCAATATTGTGAAAAATAACACAAAAATTCCAATATATTTAAAACTTCATGTGAAAAATTTTAAAATTGTTGTTTTTATGGTAACAAGGTCTCACACCACATTTTTCAATCCCTCCTTAATCAAATATACAATCAAGGGGATTGTTGTAAAAAAATTGTATATCCTGCAATTATGTCGTGGAACAATTCTTGCTAAACGCATTATAATATTGGCAACTGCAAAAAGACTTGTTTCCCCCGAGTTTGCAATATTTCCTTTACCTGAATTTAGTTCGATTTTATAGGTAAATCCACCTCATTATAGGATTGAAATTTTCATGTATGTTGCAGATATGTAACGCGGTGATACAAAGGGTTGAGTACTAATTTAAGTAGTGTGAAATAATTAGTAAATTTAGAGTATATTTGTCTTTTTATAGAAATAAAAACTTAGTTTCGAAGTAGTTATTTAGATTTATTTTTGATTGTTTTTAAAATGGTTGTAGAAATTTTAAACGAAAACTATGCTATAATACCGTATGCTGTCCACTTATTGATGGGGGAACTGGCTTTTTTTGTGCAATGTATGTACGTGTATAGTATGTGTATTGTATAGTATAGTATGTACAGTATGTGTATAGTATGTATCCCCACACACGCACGTCTCGAGACGAGCGTGGGGAAGTAGTACAGCACGTAATGGACGTATCTTATCTCGTGTGAAAGATGGAACTAATTTAAAAATGTACCATAATTTACGTATGTCCATTCTAATATTGACCGAAATGTTGAAATGCCCCGAACTCATACTCAGGACTATTTGCATGATTTAATGGCTGCAGGATGGATTTTAAAGTAAAATTGAATGTTTGAAAAACTTTGAAAATATCGCTGATATGTCTTTAAAATAGTTAAAATTTGAATCAAGGTACTTCCGCCGTGGGAAAGCCGCAAGAGTTAGACGGAGGAAAAAATTAGTAAATGTATTGTAAAAAATTAATGTGTTAGAATTGAAGAATTACTGAGATTGTGCTCCGGAAAAAATCCGGATTTTTCGATCTGAAAGTTTCCGGAAATCCAAGGTTCAGAAGTTTAAAGAAATCATCAATCACATTTTTGTATAAAAATTCTTGTATATTTAATTTATAAATATAAGGACCAGAATTTATACTTGGCTTCTCTTTCATTTGTAAATATTTATTTCTCGTAGAATAATGTAATTAGAGATAAGAACAAACTTATACATAATTTTTCACTTAAATTATGCTGCGGATAGTTTATTTAAAATTTCACGTTTTGAAAATATCAATGATTTAAAATTATAAGAACATAAATTTTTTGAAATGCTTCATTAATGATTTTACTCGAGAAATTTTCAGGATTTTTGAGATGGGCTCATAATCACAATTGAATGAAATATTTTCGATATCATTACTTCTCACTTACACTGACAAAAAGATTGTGTAGAGATAATAATGTAAAAGAACTTTTTTCATACTAAGCATCGAAATTTTCCGTCATAGGAACATCATACTATTGACGGAATTTCGAGAACTATCTAAAGCGTTTACGTCAGTGCCAAATTTCATCGGAAAAAGTTAACTATTGCCGAACATCGGTAACATTTTCACCTAAAGATTTAGTCTTTTTTATAAATTTATAAAGTGAATAAAGTACAGACGATCTTTACCAGCAATTTTTAAAGAACAACAGCTTGATTATCCTGAAGTAGAAATAAATAAACGTGAAATATTCTAGGGGGGTTAAGACTCGTTTTAACTGAAATGGAAAAAAAATTTAACATAAATAGTATTCTTATTTTTTTTAAAAAAAATAATAATAATAAAATAAATAAAACAAAACATAAATAAAACAAAACTTTGAATTTTCACATTTTTGTGCCCCACACCTTCTTAACCCTTTCTGTCCATATATGTCCCGCAGATATTTTATTAGATTTTATAATCGTCGTTAAATAGCCGACCCAACTTTCGGGTTTACGACTGTTAATGTTCAATTTCTTGTAATTTTGAACCCAATCCAGAAGACATGGGAACTCCTGGATCAAGTACGGGGTGAAATTTGCCTTCGAGGAGGACTTTTTAATGAACATAACCCACATTTGCGTTACATGGAGAGGAAAACAACGAAAACCTTCCACGGTTAGCCTGACGGCAAAAAGACTCTAACCCATGATCATAATTACCACTGAGGATATTTTACGCCCGCACTGTGGTCGGAGAAAGCCGGATGCGGAATATATATCTACCAGCCATCGCTGGGTTCGAACCCGGTTTACCTGATTGGAACGTGATCGCTCTATCCCCTGAGCCATCACGGCTTTTTCCGCAGATAATTCTCCAAGAAAAAAACTTATGAGTTAAATAAACCTGAATTTTATACAATCGCATGTCTTCTTGTTTTTCTGTGGGAATATTTAACATTTTAGCCTAATTGTTTAGTCTAATTGGCAGAATATTATTAGATTTACGTTATTTGATTTATTAAAATCATAATTTTTTGTTTTTAATGGGAAAGAAAAAACTCTACAATCATTCTTATTTAGATTTGAAGATTAACTATGGAGTTGATTTCAAAATATTTTATTTAAATTTTGCTTAAGTTAGCATCAATTTACTAACGAAAATTAACTTATCTGTTAGCTTTAAGAATCTGAAAATTCCATGGAGCAGTTGAATTCAAAGTCTGATAATTTTCCCACATTCAATACGAGAATCAGCGGTTGAGATTGTGATTCATCTAATTCCTCAGAGTTTTCTTCCGGCTCAGTAGACTGTAATTCCTCTAACTCTTCTGAATTTTCTGGTGAATCGGAATACAGTTCGACAAAATCCTCGAAATTTTCTCTCAGAATTGCACCATCTTCCTCATCCGAAAACTCCTCGCTAGAGGAAAATCCTTCCGCATACGTTTCTCCTTCGTCGTCACTGTCTTCTTCGAAAACCGCTTCTTCAGGATCATCACGATTATCGGATGGAAATTCTAAATTGAGACGACAGATTGGACACATAGATTTCCTCTGTAACCACTCAATAAGACATACCGCATGGAATTTATGAGTGCACGGCAGTTGGAACATATCTGTGAACGTTTGCGAATCTTGGCAAATCGAGCATTTAATGTCTTCATCAGCAGGGAGGTGTTCTGTAGCAATCTTTGGCTCGTTTTCTTCCAGGTCAGATCTTTTTACTTTGCTGATTTGCGTATTATTTGATTTCTCATTGTTTAACTTCGTCATATTAATTTGCTCTAAAATCTGCTCACGATTATTACCAGCTTTAGGACTGTTTTCGTTTTCTAATTTCCCATCCATGCTTCGCTTGTGTGTTCTCGAATACGGTTGAAACTTTGAATAAATTGGCTTTGATAAGCTGTTTCCCATCAAACTGTAAAAAAGAGTGTTACCATAACATTAGTTTATCTTCTCAAGTCAAATAGTTACAATTGCTTTACTATCAATTGTAGTGAATTATAATTTATGTTAAATGTACACACAAATAGTTTTTGTTATCACTTGTAATTCGTTTTTATCGCAATCAAGTTTAATCAGTTTGCGCAAAAACACATACTTTCGATCCGATTTGTACGAAAATAATTTCGGAATTAATATTAAAAAGAAGTTAGTGGACAAAAAAGACATATTTTTGCATCCTTTGTCATTGGTCAATAGTGTTGTGAAGAAGTTAGTTTCGAAGATAGTTAGTTTCATGATACTTAGCTTTGAAACATTGCCGAAGAGGTAACTGATATAAACTAACAATGCATGTTACTGTGGATAACATTAATGAGGATTCAATATACTTGTCTCCTAAAAGTTTTGAAAAATATAACAGTTTGTTCAAAAATGAGTGCTACTCCGTGGAAAATAAAAAGAAATTGCAGAAAATTTAAATTATTTAGAAAGCTTCAGTAATAAAGCACGGACTTATAACTGTAACATAACAATTTTACTTTTTAGATAACAATTTCACATTTCTCATGAGGTACTTCAAGCGATTTAGGACAAAACAAAAATCCAATGAATAATAAAAAAGATTTTAAAAAATAACACTTTAACCGTTAGATCTAATATTAAAATTAAATTATATTAATATTAAAATTTGTAATGAATTAATGGTTCAAGAGTCAAAATTATCAAATTCAGAAAAAATGCAATTATAAGTGAAAGCAGTGCGATGCAAAGAAATAATAAATAATTGAATTATATTGTAATTACTTGATGATTTTGAGCTGTAGACGAGATTTAAGATAAGGTGGAGCTGTGAAATTGCGTAAAAATACTTTTTTTGACTTTCATTTTCAGGATAAATTTGTTGTGAATGTGAAGTTTATCTAATTCAAGTACTATCTATTTTATTTTAATTTTCTTTTCTATT